GGAGATGAATTTGTTAAGTGTATACAAGAAAAATTTCTAATTCAGTATATGGGTGTACCTACTAAAGGATGTGCTAAACTTGGCCTACTCTTTGGAAACAAGGCCAGGCATGTATTAGTGGGGGAGCACTTTGGGGCCAGTGACCATAATTCTATTAGTTTTAAAATAGTGATGGAAAAGAATTGACCAGATCTAAAAGTTAAAGTTCTTAATTGGAGGAAGGCCAATTTTGACAGTGTTAGACAAGAACTTTCAAAAGTTAATTGGGGACAGATGTTAGCAGGTAAAGGGATGGCTGGGAATTGGGAATCATTCAAAAATGAGATAATGACAGTTCTGAGGCAGTATGTTCCTGTTAGAGTGAAAAGCAAGCTTGGTGGTAGCAGGGAATGCTGGATGATTAGAGAAATTGAGGTTTTAATCAAGGAGAAGAAGGAAGCATATGTCAGGTATAGGCAGCAAAGATCGAGTGAATCCTTAGAAGACTATAAATGCAGTAGGAATATACTTAAGAGGGAAATCAGGAGGACAAAAAGGGGACGTGAAGATAGTTTTGGCAAATAGATTTAAGGAGAATCCAAGGATTTTATAAGTACATTAAGGACAAATCGGGAACTAGAGGAGAATAGGGCCTCTTAAAGGTCAGCAAAACCACCTATGTATGGAACCACAGGAGATGGGGGAAATACTAAATGAGTGCTTAGCATCAGTGTTTACTATGGAGAAGGATATGGAAGATAAAGAACATGGGGAAATAAATAGCACCATCTTTAAACCTGTCTATATTACAGAGGAAGCAGTGCTAGATATCTTAAAATGCATAAAGTTGGATTAACCCACACGACCTGATCAAGTGTACTTTAGAACTTTGTGGGAAGCTAGGGAAGAAATTGCTGCACTTCTTGCTGAGATATTTGTATCATTGATAGCCACAGTTAAGGTGCTGGAAGACTACAGGTTGACTCGTGTGGTGCGATTCTTAAAGAAAGGTGGTAAGGTAAAGCCAATGAACTGTAGACCAGTGAGCCTGACATTGGAGGTGGGTGAATTCTTGGAGGAAATCCTGATAGACAGGATTTACATGCGTTTGGAAAGACAAAGACAGATTAGGGATAGTCAACATGGCTTTGCGCGTGGAGAATCGTGTCTCACTAACTTGATTGAGTTTTTTTTGAATAAGTAACAAAGAGGATTGATGAGGTCAAGGTGGTGGACATGATCTATGAATGCCTTACTGAAGTCTATAATGAGGTTCCTCATCGTAGATTAGTTAACAAGGTGAAATCACTAAGGCAGAGGGTGGTGGTAGAGGGTTGCTTTTCAGACTGGAGAACTGTGACCAATGTGTGCCACAAGGATCAGTGCTGGGTCTACTGTTTTTCGTCATTTATATAAATGATTTAGAATGTGAACATAGGCATAGTTAGTGAGTTTGCAGATGAAACCAAAATTTGAGGTGTAGTAGACAGCAAAGAAGGTTATCTCAGAGTATGGTGGGATCTTGATCAGATGGGCCAATGGGCCGAGCAATGGCAGATGGAGTTTAATTCAGATAAATGTAAGGAGTTGTATTTTGGAAAGGCAAATCAGGGCAAGACTTATACAATTAATGGTAAGATCCTGGGGAATTTTACTGAACAAAGAGACCTTGGATTGCAGGTTCATATTTTCTCGAAAGTGGAATTGCAAGTAGGAAGGATAGTGAAGTGCTTTCCTTTATTGGGCAGTGCATTGAGTATAGGAGTTGGGAGGTCATGTTGCAGCTGTGCAGAACATTGATTACTGCTTGTAATTCTGGTCACCCTGCTATAGGAAGAATGTTGTGAAACTTGACAGGGTTCAGAAAATATTTACAATGATGTTTCCAGGGTTGGAGGATTTGAGCTATAGGGAGAGGCTGAATAGCCTGGGGTTATTTTCCCTGGAGTGTCGGAGGCTGAGAGGTGATCTTATAGAGGTTTGCAAAATCATGAGGGGCAAGGATAGGGTAAATAGGCAAGATCTTTTCCCATGAGTGAGGAGTCCAAAACTAGAGGGTATAGGTTTAGGGTGAGAGGGGAAAGATATAAAAGTGACCTAAGGGACAAATTTTTTTATGTAGATGGCCGTGCGTGTGTGGAATCCATAGAGTATGGAAGCAGGCCATTCAGCCCACTGAGTCCACATTGACCCTCCAAAGAACATTCCACCCAGACCCATTCATCTACCTATTCCTGTGACTCTGCATCTCCCATGGCCAATTCACCCAACGACCACATGTTTGGACTGTGGGAGGAAACTAGAGCACCCAGAGGAAACCCACACAGAGATGTGGAGAATGTACAAACTCCACACAGATTTGCCCGAAGTTGGAATCAAACTGGGGTGTCCAGTACTGTGAGGCAGCAGCGCTGACCACCGAACCAGTGTGCCACGGATCATCAGATGCAGGAGCATCCACCGCAGCAACATGACCATCCCACAGCCCAGTTCCAAAAGTAACATCCCTCCATCCCAGGATACGCAATCCTCCAAGCACCGGTCAACTCTCCTCCTGGACTAATCACCTCCCCCAAGATCGTGACATAAAACAGGTCTACAGATATCTTCTCAACCAGGATTGTTGAGTTCTCACAGACTCAGAATTCTAAGGAACTGCGTGAGTTAGAAAAGTACGACTTCCAAACTAACACCTCGATTCGTCATTAAAGATTTTATTCCTCATCAAATATTTAATCATCTTACGTTTATTATTGGTTTCTTTGATTTTGACCACAGCGAACCCTAACAATTCTGAGATCTTTATTTTGAACAAAAAGAATTCATATCCATGGACATATTGACGATAATGTGCAGGAATAATAGATAAATGTGTTAGAAACACCAATTTGTAATCTCTATTGGTTTCAATCATGGTAGAAAACTAAGCATGCGGTACATGGTAGTCTATATAAAGAACAACTATTTCAGGAATGACTTGGTAAATTCGGTGTTGAGTATGCTAACCTATAATGCGGCAGTGAATTACAGCATCTCGGTAAGAAAATACACAAATATGTTTAGGTGAAACATATGGTTCATATTAATTAAATAAGCATAAAACGTCTGCTGGTTAGCGAGTGCATAATATAGGTACCTCACCATTAAAAACAGGAGAAGCAAATTATTCGTGAATTCCTTTGGAATATGATTATTAAACTATTTACAGCAGTTTTCTTTCCAGTGCTGACAACTTTTACTGTTTTTTTTTCATCTATATTAAACAAATCAGTTCCTCTATTATCTCCTCAATTGCAGGAATGGATCCACGAACATATTTGTACTCAACTATTTACAAAGGTTCCTTGCTAAATAGCATTCCTTTTTATGCCTAAGGGCTAAATTGATAATGCAATGTGCATGGCAACTCGGGAAGATGAAACCCATGCAGGCTTTCAGTTGATTTTTTCCTGCTTTTGCAGCCCGATTGCTACGCCGTTGCTTGAAACTCAGTGCAATTGCTATTGATAAGATGTACAATTGAATTTCACAATTGCTGCGAATGTATCATTTGAGCTGAACTATAAAAAAAGAACTGCGGATGCTGGTGATCTGAAACAAACAGAAACAGAAATTGCTAGAGAGACTCAGCAGGTCTGGCAATATCTGAGGAGATAAAGCAGCGTTAATGCTCCGACTCCAGTGACTTCTTCAGAACGGTCAGTTCAATTCTGAAGATGTCACTGGAGTCGGAACGTGAATTCTCGTTTCTCCCCAAAGATGGCGCCGGACCTGTTGAGTTTCACTAGCACTTTCTGTTTTAATTTGTGCTCATGTTTCTGCTGCAGAGACATTGAAACCATACATGAAATACGTGTACGCGAATTCCTCCGACTAATCCTTCTAGTCACCCTTTAATTGAAAAAGGGCATTTCATTTTCGAAGAACTTTGTCGATGTTAGCAGGTCCCATATCACTTTATGGTCAATGAAGTGTTTTTTTTTCTTGAGCATGCAGTCTCTGTTACAATATACCAATATATGTAATTCGTTAACTGCTAAATCCCAGCTCAGGGGTCAAAAAGTTCTCCTTGTTCTTTTCCGGATTAATCACAGAATGGTGCAGAGGGAGATGGTTTCCTCTATGGTGCCTGAGACGACTATTGGAAAATTCTACTCAAGCAGCTCCAAAACCCAGCATCAGTCCACACCATATGGCTGTGTTTCTTTTTTCCCCAAAGGACGTCAGGAATTCCCTCTGAATAAGATTCCATTTGATCTCCATGTTTCTCTAGAGCTTAGGATATGTCAAGACCTGCCCGTGTGATATTTCTTTTGTGGGTTTTCAGACGATTGCTCAACATTTCCTTCACGTAGAATCAATTCCAATTGAAAGAAACCGGAAAAAAAAACGTGAGATGAAACGGTATTTAAAGGCATTTACTGGGAAATTCCAATTGCAGTGACTCTTGCCGATAAACGATGTTTTTCCTTTGGGCCCTGTTAACTCTGTTAGCACCTTTATGCGCGGACCAAATGCCAGCCTGTAAACAGTGGGAGAAATTCGACTTACTCAGTTTATTCAAAGCTGGAGACATTGTTTTGGGTGGAATTTTCAGCCTGCATTCAAACGTAGAATATCGAGAACTATCGTTTGCAACCGAACCCGAAACGGTAGAATGTAAAAGGTTAGTTCGATTTTGCAGTGAACAAAATCTCCTCAAATATTTACATGATGTTATGCTTTTTATGGTGGATGCACATTTGAATCTGTTTGTACACGGAATTATATCTCAAATTGCAATCAAAAACATTGTCCTACTGCTGTAATGACCATTATGTAAATATGGGTTTAAAGAGTTGAAAGAATTTTTTTGTGCGCCTGCTGAAAGTCTATTGCTGTTGCTTTTGTCTCTTTCGTATTTTATTAAGAAATATTGTAGAACTCAAATAATCGTACAATTGCATCTGTCTAAATCATAAATGGTCAAACGCTAATGTGATTTCATTCCTGTTCTACTGTCATTATATTTTTTTTTGTAGATTTGATTTCAGGGAATTTCGCTTTGTGCAAGCTATGATGTTCGCAATTGAAGAAATAAACAGGAACCCTACGCTGCTCCCGAACCTGACACTGGGTTACCAGATTTACGATTCTTGTGGCATGCCGTCCTTGTCTATTAAAGCAGCCTTGAAGATTTTGGATGGGCAAAAGGATGATGTTTCAGATGATTACTGTAGGAATGTAAATGCTATTGTTGCTGATTCTGGATCCTCACAGTCCACCGCAGTTTCAAGGTTACTAAGCCCTTTCAGAATTCCCATGGTAAGTAAACTACATCGAATATTACGACAGCACAACATCAGGAAATTCCTATAGCATTGGGTTGTGAGGTTTTTACCGTAGATAAAGATACCTTTCAGTTCCTCGTGTTCGCACCCGTTATCAAATATCCATCTATTCTCATCCCATTTTTCGTCAGCTGGCCCGTAGTCTTACATAGCATAGTTTTTCAAGTGTTCTTCTAAATAGTTCTTAAACGTCTCAAGGGTTCCTACCTGTACCACCCTTTTAGGCAGTGAGTTCCTGATACCAGAAAAAAAAATCCTCAATTTTACTCTAACCCTCCTGCTACTTACCTTAAAACTATGAACCCTGGTTAATAAGCCCTCTACTCAGGGAAAACGTTTCTCCCTATCTACAAAACTTTGGCCCCTCAGAACTTTGTACAGCTCAATCAGGTCCTCTCTCAGCCTTTTCTGCTCTGTGGAAAACAACCCTGTCCGATCTAAACTCTCTTCATAGCTCTATCATTCTTCCCCAGTCGTCATGCTAGTGAGTTTCTTCTGCACGCTTTCGAATGCATTTGCATCCTTGTTATTTTACGCTGAACAATACTACATACAATATTTCAGCCGTGGTCTATCATTATACAGCTCTATATACAAATCCGTTTATTTTTGTTTTCTATTGTTTGACTAATAAGCTGTGATGAAGTTGCTTAAACTTACATTACTTTAATCTGATTGGAAATTCACACCAAAATCAACCCAGAAAACAGTGAAGATGAGAAATAAAAGGTAACTACATCACAGAAAAGAATGGGTGGTTGGCATTATGATTTCATTCACACTTTTGCCATTTTTGCAGTACATAATAAAATGAACATATACTTTCATCACTATTGGTTATCATTAACCATTGGCTCTCGACCAGTTATTTGAAAATGATGTGCTTTTGAATAAGCAAGAAAGGTTAAAGATAGGAATATGTTATTGTTCGACCGTCTTATTAAGATTGTATCCTAGAGTTTTGAAACTGCTCTCGGCTGTTGTAGTTATCAAATACTCAATAACAATTGCTTCCAAATTTTGTTTGTACGATTTAGTACTTGTGTCCATTTGATATTGTGAAGGGTCTCAGTGTGTATTCACAGTTTATTATTTATTGTTAATGTTTTGATTAGTTTCATCTTTGTCGTAAATCTTCACTGTCAACAAATTTTGTCTGAAATGCTATAGAATTGCTTCAATCATGCCATGGATTCTTATGATTACAGCCCATGTTGATAGCTCAACACCACACACACATGCCACCAACCACAATCTTTGATTTTGTGAAGGACAAGGTATGTAGCAAATGTACACTCCAATTGATTGTTATTAAGATTAATTACCTGTCCCATTGTCTGAGATTTAATTGTGTTGTAAATGGACTGATTTCTGGGGTGGCAGGAGTGGCATATGAATGGCAACTGGATTGGCTATGAAAATTCTGACTGGAATTTCAAAGAATGAGGGATATCTCAGAGAAACTGGGAAAATTCTGGCAGGAATAGACAGGAAAAATGCAGGAAGGATGTTTCCAATGACTGGGGAGTCCGGAATCATTGCTGAGACAACGTAGGTCATTTAGGTCAGAGATAAGGAAAACTTTCTCCACCTGCAGAGTGGTGAGCCTGTGGAATTCTTTGCCACAGAAAGCAGTCAAGGGCAAAGTATTGAATGTTTCCAAGAAATAGATATTGAATGTTTCCAAGAGCTAGATTTAATTCTTAGGGCTAAAGGAATCAAAGACTAAGAGGAGAAAAGGGGAAACAGGGCACTGATTTGAATGATCAGCATGATTTTATTGAACGATGGAGCAGGCTCGAAGGATCGAATGGTTTATTCTTGCACCTATTTTCTTTGTTTCTAAATTACATACTCGCTGTTATATTCGAATGTAAAAATATTCCAACTCTCGACAATCTTTTAAGATCAGAGAAACTTTAAACATTAGCACATGCAGGAAGGACTAATAATAACATGGGTATTTGTTGACACCCACAAGTGAACATACCTCAGCATTTGCACCTTAGTTGTGATTTTTTTATGGTGACACTATGTCAGATTCGTTGAAACTTGTTCTCATTCCATGTTCATACACATTCACTTTCCCTGAGTAACATTCATGGCCCAGATTCCTTGTCCTGGCTATATTATCAGCTGAAATAACCGCAAAAAGCACGGTTCAGGAATAAAGTTGACTATAGCGATCCCCTAGATAGCATGAACAGACCAACGGATTTGATAACTGGCTCATCATATTTTTTGTTTTGCAATAATTGTTTTTACAATTCTGATTTTAAACAGGTCAGTTATTTTTCCACATGTGATTGTTTGAGCGACAAGAAAGAGCATCCATCATTTTTCAGAACAATACCCAGTGATTACTTTCAGGCAAAGGCATTGGCACAAATAGTGAATCATTTTGGATGGAATTGGATTGGAACAATCAAGAGTGACAATGACTATGGTAATTTTGGAATGCAAGCATTCACAGAAGCCGTGCAGCAGTTGAGAGTTTGCATTGCCTTTTCTGAGTCCTTTTACAGAACGTATCCGAGAGAAAAATTACTCAAAACTGTTAGAGTCGTGAAGGAAGCAAGCACAAAAGTTATTGTGGCGTTTGTTGCTGAACGTGACATGGAAATTTTGCTGAAGGAGATTGCAAGACAAAACATCACAGGCATTCAATGGATAGGAAGTGAAGCCTGGATTTCCACACCAATCCTTCCATCGGAAGAAAGCCGAAGGTTTCTTAATGGAGCATTAGGAATCTCAATCCCTCAAGCAAATATCCCCGGTTTTCAGGCATTTTTGTTTCAAGCGCACCCTTCTTCAGACGAAGGAAATAGTTTACTCAAAGAATTTTGGGAAACAACTTTCAATTGTCGTCTAAGCTCTGCAAAGAATCAGGCAAATGGAACAGAAGAAACTTCTGAATGTACAGGCAGAGAGAATTTAAAAACCATTAAAAATACCTATACTGACGCATCTCAGTTGAGAGTTACATATAACGTGTACAAGGCAACGTACGCTATAGCGCATGCTCTGCACAATATGCTCAGATGTGACTCGTTGGAAAAAGCGTCCCGGAAGAACACATGTGACAATCCGTTCGATTTTCAATCACAACAGGTACTGAAATTACATTGCAGTTGATAAAAAAAACAAATCTGATGATTTTCCAATTATATTTATGGCAGGACAAAAAATAACAAAAAACTGTACACATTTGGTTTCTTTTGTTTTCTCTTAAAGCTATTGCACTACTTGAAAGCGGTCAACTTCACCACGAAGACTGGAGAAACTGTGCACTTCAACGAAAATGGGGATCCCGTTGCAAAGTACGACATTGTAAATTGGCAAAGCGCAGGGGGTGGTACTGATATAGTTACGGTGGGATATTATGATGGATCTGCGCCTCCAGGCCAAGAATTCACCATTAACGAAGAAGCAGTTATTTGGAGTAAAGGACGAAGAAAGGTAGTCGAAAATTTATTGTCTTGATATCTTTCTTTCAGATTGTTCAGATAGATAAACAAGTTCTTTAAAAAATACTATTGATGAGGCAGGGAAGTCCATGTAAATGCAGCTCCTTGTCCAATTACTATTCACGTACCCACTGTTTACAATGGTTGTTATGGGAGGGAAGGCCAGAATTGAGTAAGACATCAGCCATTAGTACGAGGAACATGATTAAAATGCTCATGCTGATCATGAAGAACCTTGAATTACCGATCTTGTGATGTTTTTAAATAGCACTATGGCTGTTGGAAAACTTAATTTCAGTTAGTTAAATAAGTCTAGAATGAAATTTCGATATATTCTTTGTAAAAAAAAAATTAAATGATTCCATACCGTTCTGTAGGGGAGAAAACATGCTGCCTGGCTTGACTCCAGATCTACAGCAATGTGTCTGAGTCATGACTATTCTATGAAATGGTCTGGATAGCCATTCAGTTGCCACCAGTAACTTTGCAAAGATAAATACTGTGTTTGCCAGCAATGCCTACACTCTGTGAATGAACAAATACCAAAGACTTGTTTCAATTCACACAAGAATCTTCCTAATGCAGACCAAATCAAAGCAGAATACTGTGGATGTTGTAAATCTGAAATAAACCCATACATTGCTGGAAAACTCAACATCTCTAGAGAGAGGAATTGAGTTGATGTGAGTCTTCTTCAGAAGAAACATCAACACTTGTTTCTCTCTCCACAGAATCTGCCAGACCTACTGGGTTTTTCCAGCATTTTCTATATTTGTTTCCAATATAGGTCACCTGGTAGTTCTCTTACATGATCCATTGATATATCATTAAACTATATATTCCCATCCAGCTTTTTGGTTCATACACCACAAACCTAAATCAAACTTTGATCCCACAGAAATTTGTGACTTTTGTGACATTAGCTTGCCCTTCTCATCGCTAGACCAAGCTTGGGATCTTGAAAAGTTCTAAATATGTATTCATCTCATTTACATAAGGTACCACAGGCAATTTGCTCTGAAAGTTGTACTGCTGGAACAAGGAAAGCTGCCAGAAAACAACAACCTATTTGTTGCTTTGATTGTGTCGAGTGTGCTGAAGGTGAGATCAGTAATATTACAGGTATGTAAGCATATACACACACATATACATAATTAACTATTCATGTAGTCTAACCTATTTATATTTGTTTTAATTTCTACAATTTTTTTCATATATTTTAACTTTTTAAAAAATAGATTCAATTGCATGCCTGAAATGTCCTTGGGATTATTGGCCAAATGAACAGCGAAACCAATGCATACCGAAGATAATTGAATTTCTTTCTGTTGAGGAGGTCATGGGAATTGTTTTAGTGACACTGGCATTAATTGGAACCAGCTTCACAGTGACTGTAATTGTAATTTTCTGTATTCACATCAACACTCCTCTTGTTAAAGCCAATAACTCAGAATTAAGCTTTCTGCTCCTTTTTGCTTTAGTGCTCTGCTTTCTCTGCTCAATAATGTTCATTGGAAAACCTTCAAACTGGTCTTGCATGCTACGCCATACAGTGTTTGGTATAAGTTTTGTGCTCTGCATTTCTTGTGTTTTGGGCAAAACCCTGGTTGTAATGGTGGCCTTTAAGGCAACCTTTCCTAACAATAAGATGATGAAGTGGTTTGGGCCAGTACAACAACGCCTGGCCATTTTCATCCTTACATTTGTACAATGCGTAATATGCACGACCTGGGTAATTATATCACCACCCTATCCATTGAAAAATATTAATTATTTTAAAGATATTATTATTTTGGAATGTGATGTTGGGTCTGTGACCGCTTTTTATTTGGTACTTGGTTATATTGGATTTTTGTCTTGTGTTTGTTTTGTGGTTGCCTTTCTAGCCCGTAGACTGCCAGATAATTTCAACGAAGCTAAATTTATTACTTTTAGCATGCTTGTATTCTGTGCAGTTTGGATAACATTCATTCCTGCTTATGTGAGTTCCCCTGGCAAATACATGGTGGCTACAGAAGTGTTTGCCATTTTGGCATCCAGCTTTGGCCTACTTTTCTGCATTTTTGTTCCTAAATGTTACATTATCCTACTGCGACCAGAGAATAATACAAAGAAACATTTGATGTGTAAAGTCACTTGAAATAAAAGATACTTCTTATTTTTCCTCTATGTTACAGCTGTGTGATAGTTTCGCCATTTTATCAGAGCAGTAACAGTTAAAATGATTAATTTGTGAGATCTGGTTTCATGTCATTGGCTTGTATCTCAAATATTACAGAAAATTGACTTGCAGCATAGGATTTAGGAGCAGGATTACGCTATTCGACCTTTCTAGCATGCTCCATCATTCAACAGTATCGTTGATGATCTGGTTCTGGTTGTAACCCTGTTTTCCTATGTGCACTGCCCTCCTGTAACCCATTGCATAAGAAGTGATCTAACTGAGATGTTTAAAATGATGAAAAGGAGGTGAATGTACACATATAGGTTAACAATTTCCTCCAGTGGAAACATCCAGGATTGGACATAGCTTTAAAATGTTGACAAAGCAATGCAGGTATCAAGGCTGGAGGCATTTTTCCATGCAAAAATTGAGAGAAATCTGCAAATTTCTCATCCAAAATACATTGAAACCAATATGTAAAATCTATGATTGATCAATGTTGTGAGGTCACATTAAAAAGGCAAGAACTTGACTGAAGGTACGGGTTAACAATAATCTAACTGAATGAGACACAGTCTCAATGGGGTGAATGACTTACTCCTGTACCTGTGTTCTTCTGTGATTTTTTTCAATATTAAATTTATGATTGCACAAAATATGACTTCATTTTCTTTGGCTTTCTTTGAATATTATGAACATCCAGTATTTGAACAATAAGCATTCAAGAAGTCCTACATGGTTAGTCACTTAAAAATGTGAATATCCATTGCATGACTTGAATCATGTGCACCAGTGTATTAGCATTGCATTAATCTAACTTTTCTGCTGCTGCAGATCTTATATACACTAACATTCATAAGAATATACTTATGAAAAATCAAATTTGAACTAGGACCTTGTCTGTAAATTTTCTGGAAGATCTTATTTTGCAAATGCTTCATGTGCTTCAATCAAATTACTTTATTACTAAGACATTAATTTGATTGCAATTGAAATTACACGTTGAAAATACCTGTCTTCTCTGTCTGTGGAAAAATATTTGGTAAAGTACAACATTGCCCATAGTTGATCAATGAAATCCACCCCATGCTCCACATCTTACAGGTCTTTGATTGTAAAAAGTTAATTTACCTTTTTTAGAATTATAACTTCCCATCACTTTCAGTGTTTAATTTTCTCATTGTCGTACAACGCTGCGGAAAGATATAAGAAAAATGAGAATAGTTGATCATTATTATGATTTTTATGTTTAATGTGAAATGACAAAGAGAGATTTAAAAAGTTATCATTAATGTAAAAATGACATGGGACACCACAAATAGAAACCAGCGACATGGATCCAAAAGAAAAGTAGGGAGTTGGAAATAAAAGCAGAAAATGCAATGTGTAACTTTGCTAACTTGGATGTTTCAACAATTTCTGTGGCATGGTGGCTCAGCGGTTAGCACTAGTGTCTCACAGCACCAGTGCTCCAGGTTTAAATCTATCATTGCACAGTTATCTGTGTGGAGTTTACATATTTTCCCCATGATTTGTGTGGGTTTTCTCCTGCAGTGGTCATGCTAAATTGCCTGCCACGTCCAGGAATGTGCAAGCTAGGTGGGTTAGGCATGGGAAATGCGAGATTACATGGAAGGGTGGGTTTAGGATGCTCTTAAAGGGGCCTGTGTTGATTCGAAGAACCACATGACCCACTTCCACACTGTAAGGATTCTATGAATATTATTTTATTTTATTTACGTCTTATTATTTTATTTACATTTTTTAATTGCATTACTATAGTCCTACCAGACAATAGGGCTGCTCTCTCATTAGAGAGAGACAATTTGTGGTGATTTAACCTGAAGGTCACCATACCTCAAGCAATGGAAGAGTTTGAGAAGGAGAGTCCATCATGATAACCTCAAATGATGATGGGAATTGAAACCATTCTTGTTGCAAAGCACTGCAATGCCAAATCAACTGTTCAGCCAACTGAGCTAAATGAATAAGACCATAAAAGGGGTGGATATGAGGTACAACTAAAGTGTCACAGGAGATTTGAGCACATTGATGGCCCAAAGATCAAAAAGTGGGTTGATTTATTCCACTGATATCAGGTCATTACAAACAGAAAGGGAAATTAAAGATAAACCCAGAACCCTTTACTCCATATACATAGAATAAAGTCTTGTTGTGACACTGAGCTCAGGAATCCTTTGTTAACTTGAGATCCACCTTTCTATCTAACCTCCTTCCACCAATGACACCATTCTTTTTTCCTCAGCAGCAAATCAATAAAGTGTTCCAGCTGTCATCAATCACTTTCATCACATCTGGTGGACGACAAGTGAACTGTTTTGCTCCATATATAAATACAATATAATAAGACAGACCTCCCCACCCCTATCCGCCTTCCGTAGGGATCGCTCACCACTCCCTTGTCTGCTCCACACTCCGCACTAGCCCCACCACCCCGGCACCTTTTCCTGCAACTGCAGGAAGTGCTACACTTCCCCCCTCCCTTCCATCCAAGGACCCAAAAAAACCTTCCACATCAGACAAATGTTTACCGGCACATCCATCAATGTGGTCTATTGTATCCGCTGTTCCCGATGTGGCCTCCTCTACATCAGTGAGACCAAGTGGAGACTTGGAGACCGCTTTGTACAGCACCTGCATGACAAACGACAACACCTTCCAGTCGCAAACCACTTCAACTTCCCCTCCCACCCCCTGGATGACATGTCCATCCTGGATTCCTCCAGTGTCACAACGACGCCATCCAAAAACTGGAAGAGCAGCACTTTATATTCCACCTTGGGAGCCTACAACCCCATGGTCTCAATGTGGACTTTACTAGTTTTAATATCTCCCCACCCCCGGCCTCACCCCATGACCAACACTCCCTCTCATCGCTGCCTCCTTGATCTATCCGTCTTCTCTCCCATCTATCTGCTCTTCCAACCTCACTGACCAATTCCCACCACTGCCTACCTGCACTCACCTATCACCATCCCACCTACCTTCCCAGCCCCACCCCTCCTCTCTCTATTTATTTTAAAACTCCCTTCCCCCTCCCCCATTTCTGAAGAAGGGTCCTGACCCGAAACGTCAGCTTTCCTGCTCCTCTGCTGCCTGGCCTGCTGTGTTCCTCCAGCTCCACACTGTGTTATCTCTGACTCCAGCATCGGCAGTTCTTACTGTCCCTACAAAGAATAACATGATGGGTTCGGTGGCTTCCAAAGAAAAACTGAAAACATTCATAAAAGAGACACTGATATTTTAGAAGGTAATCACTTTTCGTAAAGATAGTGAATGGCAATTCCACATGGAGTGCCCTAAATCCGAATGTTTTACCAGCACCCATTTTACACAATTGAACAAAGTCACAATGATCAGCAGGAAGAGGGATTTTGAGCTCGACCTGGTATTTTGGACCATTTTTTATACATTTTCCCCAATTTTCACTTAATCAGAATTGAAAATTATGTATGAATAAATATGGATCGCAATTACTTTTATTTTCCTCACCGTACCTTGAATTTCATCTTGTGTGGTTTTTTTTTGATTTGGAACTTGCTTTATTGATTTTTTTTTAAAGTCAGTTCTGAAACTTCGCCTATTCAAGTGTGCAACAAAGATCACTCACATCGATTTCACAAAACACGTTACTAAAAATGTCGTCACTGTTCTAATTTGACATTGAGGGGTCAGTGGTGGAAGGATGGGGTGATGTTGTTGGGAATAGGTTGTGTTTGGAATCTTCGAGTTGACCATTTAGCAGCACAATGGAAAAGTAGATATTCAGCCTGTTTCAGGATTTTTATTCATCTACAAAGCGAGGATATGAATAATTTGTTTATTCCTTTCTTGATCGTGACATCTCTGCAATACATACTGGCTAACCTACAGGCATTGTGTACTTATTTAATTAATACGAACCATATGTTTTAGCTAAAATATGTTGTGTGTCTTCTCATTGTGGTGCTGTAATTCACTGATACGTTATAGGTTGGACATTTTGAAGATGTAATTTACCAAGTCATTCCTAAAGTTCTAGCATAATTTGCTACTTTGATTGAAATGAGTTGATATTACAAATTGGTGTTTTAGCACATTTATCCATTGTCCATGCACATTAGCTACAAAATGTCCATGGATATGAATACCTTTCTTTCTAAATAAAGGTGACAGAAGTGTTGGTGTGCATTGTGGGCAAAATTATAGATTCCATTGTTAAAGTTAATTAAATAATGGTCTTAAATAAAATCTTTCGTGGAGTGGTTGGAGGTGCTTGATTTGGAAGTCTTACTTATCTATCTTACTCATTTCCTTTGAACTAAAGTCTGACTGTCATGTTGCCTGCTGGCGCAACTGCTTTGCACCTGTATCTATTCCATATCATGGGTATCCATGTGGGTTGCCATTTGTGAGCTACAAGTATGCAAATCTGTTATTGTTAATGAGTTATCTTTACAGATCTAAGTAAGCAATTGATTTGCTTGTGACAAAAACAAAGTTGCTGGAAAAGCTCAGCAGGTCTGGCAGCATCTGTGGTGGAGTAAACAGAGTTAACGTTTCGGGTCCGGTGACCCTTCCTCAGACCCCAGTTCTGAGGAAGGGTCACTGGACCTGAAACGTTAACACTGTTTTCTCCTCCACAGATGCTGCCAGACCTGCTGAGCTTTTCCAGCAACTTTGTTTTTGTTCCTGATTTACAGCATCCACAGTTCTTTTGGTTTTGATTTGCTTGTGACCTCCATTCCAGGTCCAGTAACAATCCTATGGCTACCGACCACCAGGACCATCTCCATCTAAGCCCTCTTTCTGGCTGGCTCCTCTTGTCTATTATTACGATAACTCTCTCTATTGCATTGCTGTCTGAAGGAGGACATCTACGGTGGTGTTGTGATTACTGGTCTGGATACTGGAGAACATAAAATTTAGCAATTTGTGACTGTGTGAGACTGTGAATTCAATGGTAAAATTACAGAATGATATAATCATAGAATTTTACAGCACAGAGGAAGGCAATTCCACCCATTTTGTCTGTACAGACTCCCAGGATTCTAGCCAGCCAGTCCCATTCTCCAGTTCCATCTTTGTAACACTTGAAATTCACCTCTTTCAAATATATATGTCCAGTTTTCTAGGAATCTGCATCCTCCACTGTCCCAGGCAGTGCATTCCAAATCCTAAAAAACTCTCTGAGGAAGGAAGCTTCTCCTCATCGCACTCCTAACTGTCTTGCTTGCAATCGTGAAATTATGACGCTTTCTTATTTTATTTCTCTTGGGATGTGGGCATTCCTGGCCAGTATTTATTGCCAATCTCTAATTCCCTCTGAGTGGAATGTACTTGCTAAACCATCTCAGAGGGCAGCTGGGAACCACTTTGCTCACGATCTGGAGTTGCATATATGCCGTAAAGGGTAAAGATGTAAATTCCCTTCCCAGCCGAGTACTTACAATGATCAGCAATAGTTTAACGATAAACAGCGTACAGGCATTTAATTCAAGATGTTTTTTAATTTGAATTCAATTTAATGTGTTACCAGAGTTGGAGAAACATCTGTATTTTATTATATATTAAAGCATTTGACAGGGGTGTTTGACAGCTCAAACGATTTTGCTAGCAATCCCTCT